TTATTGTGCGTTTATATAATACAGTTAATTTTTTTTTTTCCCAAAAAATAGAACGTTTTTTTTTGATAAAATATGATACAGTATGCAAATAAATATTTTCTGGATATTTACTCGTTTAAATGCTATTAAAATAGATTATGTGAATAAAATGCTTAGCCTCGTGCAAAAATATTTCAATATTGTTTGCAATGTCTGTTAATTCATATGTCAATTCATAATTAAAATACCGATAGAAAATTGTATAAATTATAAATTGTACGAATATAATTTATTATTAATACTGAATATTGTTGCGGCAATTAACTGAACGATGCTATCGATCGGAATAATCGTGTTCTATCGCTTCGCGTTACTAGTCGGTCAGTTCGTTTGTTAAGGAAGATCGCGTTGAAAGCCACTCTCGACGATAACGCGTGTCCTCCGGAAACTTGTTGAAAGTAAGAACGAAAAAAGTCCCGGAATGAACAAGAGTCTAAAGTAGAACTCTTCTACTCCGCCGCGTCCTTGGGAATTGTTGTTCGGAGAGATATTCGCTCTGGCAGAAGAACGTAAGAAGTGTCCGAAGAAAAGTCCTGAAGATATAGCACTCGACAAAGAGGCGCTCAAGATCAATTTCTTTGATTTTTCGGGAAAAAATTTAGGGAGATTGCTATGAGACTCTTAAAAGAGATTTACTACAATTCCGATTTACTTTGACATCCAGCGCTATCACCTTTTCTATTGTACCGCCATCCAAATGTGCCATTATTAACTAACACATAAAATTACTTTATAATTCAATGTAACAATTGAGATATTGAGTTGACACTGTATTAATGCCAACAAAATGCGCGAGTTTTTCTAGATTAACGTTACCTGGACATTTTATTATTCTCGCGTCGCATTCTCATGCAAAGGAAAATCATGCATAGAATTTGTTTTCTTCCATTTTTCCGTAGTGCAAAAGTTTTCAAGTTTAAGATAACCGTCTAAAGTCTCGTGGCTCCACCATGGAGTACACTTCGTTCCCAGAGGTGAAATTGGAAAAAGTTTTTCCGTTTGTGCGAATGCTTCTGTGGCAGTATCAATCTTGGGGACTTTTGGTATTTCGACTGCTGAAAAGTCGCTGTCAATGTTCAAGGTGTATATGTTTTGATTAGATTCGAGGATGAATTAAAAGAACCGGTCATTGTTTTAATATCGTTAGAGAATTGCTTTTATAAAATTTAACTTTTTTTATCACAGACTTTTTGCAGAAAAGCATTACTTGTACACTCCGAAATTTCTGTCTGCAAGTATAAAATTTAATTTATTTAGAGAATATAGGAATACACACACATGCACACATTGGAAGTGTAATTGGAGTTCCATGACGGCAGGACTAATTTCCCTGATGGAAAGCCGGGTTGAAAACTTTGAGTGACGAGACTTATTATTTATTCCTCCTGCCGTCGCGAGTCTCCCCCATTCAAGGTATTCATATCTGTCGGAATTTGATACATTACATGTCTCTTATTAAGCTTTTTTTATCTGCAGATACATAAAATATATGCATAGGATTTTTTTGAACATGATACTATATGTATATATATTTTAAAAAGTACCCAGGTGTATAGATAAAACAGCGTAGTTTAATTACTATGGCGTTTGCTTCTCGAGAGCCGACTCGTATATTGGACTAACAAATTAACGCACATTTGATCGCAACAATCGATTTTCACCAACTCATTGCGCAAAACACTCTCATACCGAAGTCTTTTCCCATTAGTACTATTTTTCAATTGCTTGAGTCATCTAACAAGTAATTCAATTTATAAATCCTGACATAGAAATAAAATACATATAAAATATATATTTTTTCAAAAAAATATTCTCACACCAAAGTTATATTGTCGAAGGAAAAGAATCATAATTAAAAGAAAGCGTTAATACGCGCGCTTATTTTTGGGTCACACTTTATACTTTGGTTTTGTCATTTATCTTTGTATTTAAATATTTGAAATACGAGAGTAGAAAAAAAGTATTTTAAAGAGCAATATGAAAGAATCGAGAGAAGTCATGGCCATCTCATTAGACGTTGATTAACAACGACAGACAGATCGCTTTGTCTATTTCCATTTCGGACGAAAAATATTTCTGACTGTCCTTTGTTCTGTGGATAGTCTGTATGAGTGGCCTAATTACTGCGCGGCATTTGAGCTTAAAAAGAAAGAATTAAAAGAAAACTGAGAAAGCTAGCAATGGCTCTTTCTGCAATGACTCTTTTAGGTTGCGAATCTCTCGCGAAATGCTTCATATAACAAAGGTGCTTTATTTAATTCTGCTTTACAATATATACACAATTGATTAGAACTAAATAAAAATAAAACAAAATTATTTTGAATTATTTTGAAGCTATTAAAAAATGGAAGCATACAGAAATAATTACAATATTTATTTTTGTATTTTTTAATATTTTTAGAATAATTTAAAAAAAAATATTTTGATATGTAACACAGATTGTGTAATACAGATATTTAAGTTTTTTAATAATTTTGTACATGTTATAATCTAAAAATTTTTCTTTAGAATTTACATTTTTACTTATTTTAGTTGTTTAATACTTATTTTTAGTTGCAGTATATTTTTTGTTTTCACAATATTGATTTTTATTAAAATAATAAGTAAAATAGGAAAAAAAATATTTTTATTTTTATGTTTTTGTACTTTAGCAATATAAAAGAAAGCAAAAGTAGTTTTATAATAGTGTCAAACGAATAATTGAGTTGCTAACGTTTTGAATATTATTTATTAAATAATGATTTTAAACAAAAATGCATTTTTTGATTTTTTGAATCGTTAAAAACAAGTATTTTATATAATAAAATGTAAAAGATATTTTAAATTTTTCTCTTTTCAAAATCAATGTCACAAATACGTAAAATCGTATAATTTCACAGAGTCTCGAATGCAGAGACAAACTATAATATATTTAAAATGACAAAGAAATCAAGTGCTATCTGCGGTTTTGTATAAGGGGAAAATTTTATTAAATTATAAAAATAGTAAAAAGAAACTGCTTCCTTATCCCTTCTGAAGTGTAGCAGCAAATTGTTTGGCGTAAGAAATGAGAAAAACGAACATATTCTTATCGCAGCATCTCTCGCTTGCTTATGTTGAATCTTTACAGAGCTGAAAAGATAGAGAAGAGGTATGAGTTACAACGGAAAAGGATCCATTTCGTCTGATGCTGATTCATAGCGGTTAGGCGTGCTCTGCATTATTCAGAAAGCACACCTGACTGTATAACGCGCGCGTTTAAATATGACTGCACTACTTTTGACTGTCAAAGTGGATAATGCGGCACGAGGTATACTTTTCTTTCAGCTGCGTCGATTGCATCGAATCGAATGTAAGAAACGCAAAGAATTTACAACAGAAAGAGGCAAATTTATAACCAACGTATTTCATTATTTACATATTTGATTTTATTTCTTTATCGAGTTTAATTAACAAGTTTGCCTGTTAATATCTATTTTTAAAAATTTATTTGTGTTTAATATTCTAAAAAATTACATTTAATAAAATTGCAATAAAAATATAATAATAATACATTTAGAAAATTATATGTGCATTAGAATGTTAAGGATGCAATTAAAATGGAATAAAATAGAAAAATCTGAACGAAAATAAGTGATTTCAAAAATCCACGAGAAATAAAATCTTGGAATAAAATTAGTAATGGCAACGAAATGCTTTCATTTGGATTCGGATGCGGAGTTCATTCTTGCGAGCAAACGCGGAAACGGCTAAACACGACGCGCAATATACGAAGGTAACTCGCTATTTCGACCGACTATTTCCGGTCTTTGCGCGATGCAGTCCATGCAGAATGCGGCGTATTTTTCTCTCGTGTCTCCGATTTCGCTGGAACGTTTTGTATGTGTCTATGTTCGCTCCACGGGACTGCGGCAGCAATACGTGATTTTCTCGGATTTTTCTCTACGCATGTTTACCAACGTTCTATTATTTTGCAAACCGTTGATGCACAAAATGAGTTTCATACTTCGGACTGTCAAAAGCATATATTTTTTGTCCTTTACCTTATATAGACACGAAACGAACATTGCTCGATCATTGTTAATTCGTTATATAATTGCTAACAAATATGGCATAAGAAATATTTATATTGTGTGCAAAATTGCAAAATTGCAAATATTTTATTTTGTGGAAAAAACGTTCTTATCTGACGCGACTGACAAAGGAATGATTGTCATTCGACAAGAGTGTACGAGGAAATATCTCTGAAACTATTTGAAATATACTTAAGATAATATTGGAAAAAATATTTTATAAAGACAATATTTTGTACTTTATATAGAAATCCAAAGATGCATATAGATATTTGTAAGTATGTGTGTGCATGTGTGTAGTGTATGAATCTCATATAGCGGCTAACCGCTTAAAATAATTAACGTATACAAACAAATATTGTATCTGGTTATACTGCAAACATCGAATAATCATTATCAGCTTTAAAATAAAACCATAGTTAACGTTTTTGAAAAGATTTTTAAAATCTTATAAAACTTTAAAATGAAATTTTTAAAGAAATTTTATCAATTTTTTAAACAGAAATGTTAAAATTTTGGACAATGTTTGCAAATCAAATAAAGTAAAATGGTTATTTTAAAAATTACAAAATTTTAGATTCGGCAGCACCTCAAATAAGTAATCAAAGTGCGTAAAATGCGTAAATCAACATTTGCGGAGAAAGTTTACACATCACTGTTATATTGACTGCAACGATTTTCCGTCATTGCTTATGCTTAAACGAGTGATCTGATTCTTTCAAGCGTTCCATGATGAATAGCGGATTCGTAAGATTGCACGTAAAGATTGCGGATGCTGGGCACGACGAGGCTAGCTCGTCCATTCTTCTCAAGGACGACACGACTTCTTCCATTTCGCTCTTCCTTGTCTTTTTTTTTTCTTAGGCCCTAGAGCGATGTAGTAAGAACCATCTGTCTCATTTGTTTCAGGTTTTGCCACCTTGGAAGGCCGCCAAGTCTGGGAGTATATCCTTCAAAATTCGTACGAACGAACCCAATGGACTGATTATGTATAGCCGTAGCGGAGCGCACACGAGAGTACGTATTCTTTGACATCTTTTTAATTGTGATTAATCGACCATCAAAGTCGCAGAAATCAAATAGTAAAAATGTATTTTTTAATATATTTATAAAATTTAATTAACTTTTGTGATATAAAAAAATAACCCAGAATCAGGTTTTAGACAACAAAATCAAACGTGACTGTTAAAGTGTAATTAATCATCTGTACAATTATTGAAAACGCTTTTTGAAATAACAATCCGTTTTTGTCCTAAAACTCGTTCCGGTTGTGGTTCTGCACTCGAATTACGGTAATTTAATTATCGATGTACAATTCCATTCTCCTAGCAGTGCGATCGATGAGTGTTCATTTTCGTGGTCAACAATTTCTGCTTCTCTTAATTTGCCAAAAATTATTTAATATTTTAAGATATTCTCATTTTTGGTTTTAGTTTTTTAACGAAAGAATATAAGTTTGCAAAAAAACAAGGAAATTATGTAAAAATTAATATTTACTTATCAACAATAAATAAAATATTTAAAAAAAAAATTTTTATAATTTTAAATATCAAATTAATAAATATTAATTAATGTGTTAAGACTAAATATATCTAAAATATTCTTATATAACAGTTATATTTTGCATTATATATTTTTTCTAGTAGCTAATGCATTATTGTAGAGTTGAAAAAATATGATATTAAGCATAATCGAATTAAATGTTATTTACTAAAGTTAACAAGTCTTTTTCAATGGTGGATAAGCCTGAATTGCCACGATACATCTTCATTTATTCGTAATTCTGTTAATAACAATAATACGCTAATATATGATAATATATCTTCATCTATCTATCTACAATAACAGAAATGCAATAAGTTGCGACAATAAGCTTTCTTTATTTTAGATATAAAATAGTATCTCTTCATATTTTGTTAAATCTGCGAAAAAACTTTCCAATAATTATAGATATTATTTTTCTTCTAAATAAAAAGCAACTGTTTTTACGTTATATCGTACAAATTGAAAATACGTTGGACCGTAAGAAATGTGTATATGAAAACAATTTGTTTTATTTTAAATAGCAAAAAATACTGTAATATAAATGTTTCTATTTATTACAGCAAGATCTGTTTGCCTTCGAAATTCTTGGCGGACATCTTTATCTGCATGCCGATCTTGGAAGTGGCCCTGTTAAAGTGAGATCATCAAAGACACGCGTCGATGATGGCGTTTGGCACGATGTTGCTCTCAGAAGAGTTGAGAGAGATGGTCGAGTCACCGTCGACAGCTATACAGTCGATTTTCGGACGCCAGGTAACTAATCGAAATAATGATTGAATTAAAATAAAATAAAAACATATTAATTAGGAATATACAAGTATAATGTTTTGAAGAAAAAAATTATTATTTATTATTTCTCAAAAATTTAACAAAGTACTGTGTGCGTGTAATCAGGAGAAATAGGCGTATAAAAAAAGGAAAAATTGTTAATACCAAGCAAGTGGCAATTTTGCAGCATAAATTCTTCAGGAAGCATTTTAGGGATAATTATTTATAAATAATTGTTTTCTTAAGTTATCTGCTTTTCCGGAAAAGACGTTAAATATTTCTTTTAAAACTTACGAATTTTGCAATCGATGAATCGTCCGTTGTAGCATATTTTTGCATGTAGTAGCAGTTTTTCAAAAAGAACTATCTCGCCATATACATAGAGTGTCTAGCCCGGCCTGGCAGATAAGTGTCCTCGAGCGTGTAACTCTGAATTATGAGTGGCTCGGCCCGCTCAGCTCGCCGTTTACGTCGGTGGACCGCGATGTCCAGAATTTACTCACTGCACCGTGGTTAAGTGATAAAGCACTACGTATGTACGGCCGCAAACACACGACCAATACCGCAAAAACGATAAAAAGAATTTCATTGAAGCAGCAAGAGTTTATATATCCTTTTACGGATAACAATGATTTATAAGATTGCTGAAAAGATATTAGTACAATACTTATTGCTCCTGATTTTCAGAAGAAGAGATAAAAAATGGTGTATTCAAGATATTTTCTGTCATTATAAAGGACACTGACGCACATGTTGCGTCGCTTTTGTAAGCTTAGTAACGTTAGTGTTCATTTTTGGCTAATTTAACTTTTCAAAAAACATTCATTAACATACAATAATTTATTGTATAAAATTATGGCGATTTCTTTGAAAACTGTTGAGCGAAAAGCTAATTTTCAATTTCCGCTTTCTTGCTGAACTTGTTATTTTACAGCAAGTTCTTGGTATTGTATTTTACTTCTATTTTTTGTGCAGAATGTGCATAGAATTTATCTATTACAAATTATCGCAATGCTAAATGTTAGAAATCAGTATCCTTTTTTTTTTTTAGAACAACTTTTTCAACTAGATAATAAAAAATGCGAAATTAGAGAATTATAAAAAAATTTATCTTGTCTAAAAGTTGACTAACGCGTAATAAAAGGATATTCAGAATATAAATTTATCGCACTTTATTCGAATTTATGTTTTCTCAATAACTAATTTATTTGTTAATTAATTTGTATGTTGTACTTATTTATTATCTATATTTATTGATTTTAGTTTCTCGGGAAAATTTTCCTAAAACATGTTAAATGTTTTCATTTCTGCTCATCTATCTGTTTTCTGACTTTTTCTCTTTTCACTCATCGAACATTTTCGAAATAAGTTTATAACTTCAGTCAAACTATGTCATACTGTTTCCACCTTACCATGAGCATAGCCTATCGTGGTTAGCCAAATTACACGGACGGTTAATTTGCCAACGAAATTTGCCTTTGAATCCTACCAACAGAGCCTGGAGCAATTCTGCTCTTGCGCTTCTGTAAAACCGCGAGCAAATAACGCGGATCACTGCCAAGCGCAGAAAAAGATCTTTGGCTTCCGCGTCCCCTCTGAAATAAATTGTTTACCCGCAATATGGATAAAAGCAAACGAAATAAATTTGAATTTCAGAGGCAGAATATAAATAGGAAAATATATTTTCTGAACAAAAAAGTCTAATAAGATACGTAATCACGGATCCACAATTCTAAGACAAATTAAAAAAATAAACTTAAAAAATAATCAAGTTATAAAAATTTAATCATATCACAAAGTCTATTATATATAAAATGATAAATCAGTCTCCATATTCAAATAACTTGAGAGAAAAAACAAATACGTGTATTATATACGTAATATCTTTTATTTTCTATCACGTATATTTATTGATGTGTTTCTTTAAATGTTTTTACACATCTCTCTATAAATTCTACATTTTCGATATAATGACATTTCGATGCATGCGTTCTCCTTTTCTTCTCTCTCTTTCACGTATATACACATACTCATGCACGTATTGAAATGTCAATATATCAAAAATATAGAATTTTTAGACTCATAACATTGAAAAAATATCAGAGCGTGTACAAGGTAGAGAATTAAAAATACACTTTATATAACTACGAAATGTCAAGGTATCGAAAATACAGGGGAACATTGGAAAGCTCAGTTTAGTTAGTGCTTAATAACAATTCTCGATCAATTTTCATTAGGTAGTACCTATATTTATAAACACAGTATATATTCTCGCTCATTTGTCAAGCACTAATGTTAACAGACTTGTTGTATGTTCTCTAATGTTTTTATTTATTCTTTATTCAGTTTTGATATTTATTTAGAGTAATTAAAATTTTTTTATTTCACATATAATTTTAGAAATCTTTATTGATTCGCTTAGTTATAATCTTCTGCAATTGTTTTCTATTATGTGCGTTTAAGAAGGATCACGCTATATAATTAGTACAAGGATTTATATATTATTTTAAATGTCTATAATTTTTATGTGAAATAGTTTTATACATATATAAGATATTTATATATACATACAGGGGTTTAGAGGAAAAATGGATCAAATCTATTTTTGTGAATTATTAGAAAATTAGTTCTAAAGTTAAAGTTGTTCTAATTGTGTGCAACATATACCTGTTTTTCATAGGTACTATAGTTTCTTTTAATTTTAACTTAAACGTTTGCATTCACTTTTAAATCGTTTAGTGAAAACTGTTTCTTTTTTTTTTTGTAATTTATACATGGATTTAAAAAAAGGACTTGGTCCACTTTTCTTCTGAACTCTACTTATAGATATCGATATTTCATTTAATTCTATATGTGAATATACAATTATATCTATAATATGTAGATACAGCTTTTAACGGAACCTTTTAATAATCTTGCTTGCAGGCGATTCTACGCAATTAGACTTAGATGGCTTGTTGTATATCGGTGGTGTGGGTGCACCCTTTGCACCCTTAACTGTGCCGCCTGTTTTGTGGACGGGAGCTCTTCGACAAGGTTACGTAGGTTGCATGAGGGATCTCGTTATCAATGGACATACAGTAGATATCGCGGGATACGCACAGCAGCAGGATTCCGGTAAGTGGGTTACTTTTAAATTTGTCGAGTAAATTAATGTTTAATTTACACACTGTTTTTATAAAAGCTAGGATCTATTTTTTTTTAAATTAATTAAACGTAACAATGAATAAATCGTCACTATCAATTTCTGAAGTAAAATATTTTCTCATCTTGTGTGATATAACTGTGTTTACTAACTATTTGTTGATAAAAATATCCCGCGGTGTGTGATATTACTAATATTTATAAAATAAATAGAGAAACGTAGTTTTTCACTATCGTTATCGTAAAAAAAAAAAAAAAAGAATTTCGCTGCGGACAGGATTCGAACCTGTGCGGGCATAGCCCATCAGATTTCGAGTCTGACTCCTTAACCACTCGGACACCGCAGCTTACGGCTCCACCCTGCTATCTCATAAACTTCATACGTCATATGATTTACCCTATTAAGAAAAAACATTAAATATCATAAATTTTCAAAAATATTTTAAAATATATATTTATGTAATAATAAACGATCGGATTTATAATTTATCTAAAAATAAAGGTATTACAGTAAATGAATGTGTTACATTAATACTCTACAAGTTTAAGTTAAAAAAAGAAAATTGCTATTTAATGACACAAAATAAAAAAAGAAATGAAAAATTAAAATATAATTAATTGTAAATCATATAATGTTAAATTATAATAGCGTAGTCGTTATATGCTTTATTCTTTATTTTTTATATTGATGAATATACAATTACAATTAAAAATAATTATAAATTATAATTTTTTTGTAATAAGATTCTAATTCTAATTTTTAGATTCTAATTCAGAATAATTAGATTAATGTAACATAAATAAATCATAAATCAAAAATCAATATTGTGGTATAATTAGGATAATCGCTATAATTATATATACGTATATATATCAGTATTTCATATTTTACATTTAATCTTGGATCAAAATAGATTTCTGCATCTCTCAATCATATTTTTGTGTAATTTTTACAGGTGCAGTGAGACCCGCGTGCCATATTCAACCCGCACATTGTCCTTCGCAACCGTGTATGCACAATGGCCATTGCCTCGAAGGTTGGAATCGATTTCACTGCGATTGCACCGGCACACCTTTTACAGGACCCACCTGTGGAAAAGGTAAAATTATAATTATAATTTTTATTATGGCCTTCAAAAAAAATTAGCATTCTAACACATCTAATCTAAAGAATAAACATTTTCTGCTTCTTAAAATAAAAAAACAAGTTAATGTTATTATAATAATTGCATTTTACAACAGCATAATAAGTCAATTATAAGATTTAAAATTTAATTTCTTTTATAAATGACAAGTTATTATGTTTATTGTAGATGCATCGACACTGCATCTGAACGGCACGCAGCAAATGACAGCGCTGATGCCGGAAGATTCCAGGACGCAGGCGGAGGAAATCGTTATACGTTTTAAGACAGCGAAACCACGTGGCCTTCTTTTAGCGACAAGCTTGGAAAACAACCCCGACCGTTTGCAAATTTATCTGAAGGAGAGCAAGGCGCAGATGCTGATTCACATTGGTGATCGAGAAAAGGTAAGATTACGAGACAATTGAAATTGTCGGAATAATCTACATGAATAATATTACTTTAGCACGATATTGACGTTTCCAGTAAATTTAATACCATTTATTTAATTGTATATAAGCGCTAAGACTGCAATTTACATACGCACATATGCTCCAATTAAAAATATTATCCTAATACTTTAGTATCGCGTTCACGCAAAAATATAATATAATGTTTTTCTAACATTTAAATTAGACATAAATTTATAGCACATTAAATTATATATAAATTCATAATACAGATTAAAATATACTTTCGGATTTTATATTTTTTGCATAAATGTCACATATTATTAAGCACAAATAAAGGACATGCTGTGTTGAAAGGATAAGATATTGAATTTAGCTCGGACAAATTCGATCCACTTAATGTCAGCGAGTACTCATTCAAAAGTTAAAGGGCCGCGTAGTCCACGAGGATTTACATTCCCGAAGCATCTTCGATGTTGAACGTCGCTCCAATATAGTCGACATAGATCGTTCTCTCGTTGCGAGCGACGTCATGACGTTAACTTAATACGTCACCCGCAGCAGCATCCGCCAAGTAAATGGCTGGCGGCTCTCATCTCCGGGTAACGGAATATTCTTTCTGACGGAAGCATTGGACACACAAAACGCACTCTCGGCAATTGCTTCCGAAGCATCGGATAACACGCATAATGGTTTTTTTGTTTTGTTGTATTAACGCGGCTCTTCCGAAAACGCGGCGGTAGACTTAAAATAATTATATTTGATATAGCGTACTCTTAAAATTCAGAAGCTTTTAGATTTTTCAAAAAAAATGTATTTATATATTTTATCATAAATTTTAATCAAAAATATAACAATTTAAATACGTAAAATAAAAATTTTAATAACTTTGATAATTACAAATAGTGTTAGTCCAGTGTATATATTGAGATTATGTAATATATATATCCAAAACTTTTATTGTACAAAATACTTTATTCAAAATAATTTATACAAAATAATTTACTTCAAATCTCGAAATTGTTAAGAATCAATAAGAGTACTGTTCCAAGGTCGCGAAAAGCACTTCCGCGCTGCTCCATCGATCGTTTTCCCGGGAGCCAAATGCATTTCTGAATGCATCCTGCAACCCCTCGTTCACGCAATCTCCAACACCATCCACATGTACGTGAAAATACATAAGCAATTCTGCAATCGCGACGTTTCCGGTCGAACGAACGGTAAAATCGGCCAATGCGATTTCGCAGCTATTTCATTAGGTAATGCATAAATGTACATTTTATCTTTTTCTCTTTTTCCTTCATATTTATGACTTAATTATGCTAATATATAATTATAACTTAAAAACTACATTCAGTGGCACATTAGTTGTTTTCTTCATATTTTTAATTACTTACAATCTGATGCATATAATTATTCGGCAATTTTGTGCCAATTTAATAAGATTTGCAGGTAATTACTTATGAAAAGCAGTAATCCATTGCACACACGCGGTATTGTTATCTCGGATATTAAACTCTCAGATATTGTGTTAAGCGGCGGCAAGCTGAATTAACAATCTTGGGTCGAAGTCATTTGGAACTCTCGTGCTCACGCGCGAATGAAGAACCAACGTACGGACGTATACGTACACGCATATAAATGCGAGCGTACAAGGCGCGCGGTAATTTACGGTAATGTTTCAATCTCTGTACCTACACGGACTCGTTAATTGGATGGAATAATTGATACGATAATGCGGTGCTCGACGATTAGTCTACAGAAAACCGGATTTCCGAGGAGTTTCTACAAAGTTCTAGCGTTTCAATGAAGATTTCTATCGCATCAACTTACAAGCTCTATGTCGGAATTAATCACGATTTTCGGCGATCTGTTAACTTTTTCGATTGCTGCAAACAAAAATATATAAGTCATAATAATAAAAGAAACTATAATATTTACACAATTGACATGTTTATAAATAAATTAATCAAAAATATGCACAATTTTTCTAATATGTTTAATTATAAATTTTATTAATTAACCATATAATTACTATTTTATATTTATATATGAAGGATAAATTATTTGGTAACATTGCGGCTTTTTATAAAACATTACATAAACTTAAAGATTATTTATAAAATCTATTTTGGTAAGCTTCTTCTCTCGATAATTTTACTTGTGCGAATTTCGCAATTTCCATAATGTTACATTTTACATTATATAGGTTTTGTAAAATTGTACCTCCACGCAAAGTTAGATTTACATTTTTATAGTTAGCTTAACTTTGATTTAAATAAAGGTTGGAAAGTTTCGAAGAAAGTGTGCAAAAAATAATTTAATAAAAACTGTTCAATTTATCAAGTCAATTTATCAAGTCATATCATGTATCGCATTTTGTTCAGTCACAGCTTTTGACGAAGTTGAAGTCGATTTTCTTCAATAAATTTTCAATCATTTTTAAACTTGTTAAAGTGTAGAAAATATGCTTACAGCGATTGTTGAGGGAAATTGAACGACAAGTTGGTACTTGCAATAATAATGTTCAATGGCAATAGCGACGGTACATAGGTGACGTTGGATGACAAACGTGCGTCACGTGTCACATGACGTATGATATCACATATTGCAATGAGAACTGCGCCAGATAGTGACGAGTTGCTTGGATTTATAGGGTTTAGCCAAATGACAGACATCTCAGAGATGGTCTATCGATAGCATGAAACCATTGTGACACAATGACACAATGACGTTTGCTACAAAATGCGATAAAAATTGAACATCTGGTGCAATTGATGCAAATATTTATAACATATATGTCATTATATTTTTCATTATTATGCATATATAAGTAAAAATTAATAAAATCAGTGATATTAGTCAAAGAATCTGATAAATAAATATCAAGTATCTAATAAATAATTAATTTAATTCTTGATTGTACTAAAGTTTTTCAGAAAATTATTTGTGATGCAAAATATCTGTTTTATTGAAATTTAATTTGTTACACTTTAAGCGCGCTTTACTGTATATTTAAAGTCAATATAGATTTTATTAGCAATAATAAGAAAGATGCAACGGGCTTAATCTACATTTCTTTATTTCAGATACTGGAGGCTGGACAAGGTCTTAACGATGACATGTGGCACACTCTGAGGTTTTCCAGACGGTTTAATTCACTCAAGTTCCAGATCGACGATGAAACACCAATACGAGGTATGTACATTTAAAATAATGTTATTATACGCACTACTCTGAATCATTCCGAAAAATTATACATTATAATTATATCCAAACATTATACTTTTAAAACACAAATATTCTGTTAGAAGTAATAGATATTATCATGAAACAGAATTCAAAAACTCATGAAATTTATCGATACGAAATACATATGCGTTTTGTATATGCAAAACTGTCAGAATTATATCAAAAAATTGTCAAAGCTATGGACAGTCAGTTAATAGATGATTTGTGCAAAAATAAATTACAATAAAAATGTAACTTTTTTAACATAAAATTCAATTTTCAACCAAATTGTAAGACTGATAATGTCTTTCCACTTTAATTTCAACTAACTTGAAACTTGGACAACTTTAAAACTCGAAAACTTTTACTGTAAATCATTGAGCTTATTTCGACAGCACAGGTGTACTCACATTTTATATTTACTTACTAAAATTTCAAAAATGTCAAAACAAATTAAAACAGTAAAATTTACCATCCACTTACTAATTTTGTTAATTATTGCTAAAAGCGGCATGTAATATATGAAAGGAATATAGTCTCATATTACCCTTATTCATATTACCCAACTAGTTCTATAATATTGCTTCTCTCCACGCCTCTATTAATTTCTTTGTTCTCAAAATTGTACTAGACCAAAATTGAAACCAATAGCCAGAATTCAATACTCTTTTTCCATTCGAACCAGAACCGTAATCGAAACTATAACTGAAACCGTAGATGTCTTATTACATTGTAACCATAACTGAAATTTGAATTGGATCAGAAATCCTGCATTTAGTTTGTACTTTACAATCCTCTCCATCACTAATGTTACAGAATATGCGAATATCTTGAAAATATTTTTAAAGTTAAAAAGATTTTAAAAGAACCAAAGAAAAATCTAAATTTGTAGTAAGACGTTTTATTTTTCTGTGTTTAATTTCTTTGTCAATATTTTTTATTAAATTTTTAATTAAATTACGTAACATTCGTAACAATGTGTCGTATATATGCAAAATGTTATTCTTATCATTAAAATAAACTTAAAATATCTATGAAACTTTAGATAATTAAACGTAAAATATGAGAATGCTGGCAAATGGAAAGAAGAGCTGGTTAATTTAGATGGTAGACGCGAACTGCATTATTAACACGATGGAAACGAGATGCCGTCGGACGCGCAAAGTGCAGCAAATTGTGTGTCGGTACCAGATGCAAAACAGTTGATTGGTTTCGTACAGCGAAAGCGGTATAAACGGCGTCATCGATCGCAAGATGCAAGCGACAACGAGAAGAAAAAGACAATTCCATTTCACGATGTTAGAGAAAGAAGGAGAGAGACAAAAACGAATTTTAGTTCTTGTTTTGCGCCCAAAGAAAATAATATATTAAATATTAGAATAAAGCGGGAAAATAAAGTTTTGATTTTTTAGTCTGATTTTTTGGCCTGAATAATTAATCATTTTCTTTTGATGACAAGTAATATTTCGAGGTGCATCGTTTAAAAGAATGTTTCAAAAAATAATTTTCTCAGGAAAACAGTAAATAAATAATAAATAACATTATCTTGTATTACATTTAGCAGAATTTATAGAATCTCATAAATATATATTCTATATATTTATATTCCTATAAATACATAATATATAGAATCTCATAATATAACTGCGCAGGTTCGGACGCGATAAATTTATTAAGCGGAGCTCTTATATTCTCAAAATATCGACACCAGCAGCTTTGCTTTTACCGTAATCAGTAGACCTTTTCCTCGCGCTAAAGCTTTTATAGGCGGCTTAAAATCGTCCCATAAATTAAACCTCAATTTGTAATGAGCATAAGAGCGAACGAGATGCTATGAAAAAATTAGACTGAGACTTCTATACAATCTTCCTGACTCGGATATTGATTCTTTAGAAAAGCACTTTTCAACTATTTGAAAATGATAAGTAATATGCGCAAAATGGAGTTATTACTTTGGTGGAAAAATGTGCGATTGGAAGAAAATATGTTCAATAAGAAATATCCTGTAAGATAAATCGACTTTATGATTGATACGGAAAAAAGACTACGGAAATGTGCGGAAATATATGGAAATGCAGTAACTTTTTAATGGTAAATCTCATACGATGTGTTACAAGTTTCGAGAAGGAAAATTTTCCTCTCATGACACTTCGATGCAGCACTTTGCACGTCGCATCGATTGCACCGGTTCGAAAGGTCCTGGTGCATCGTATGCATGTGCACATTCGAACTTCTCGCCACAAGGCGAGAGCTCACGCATGGGAGCAATATCGTATTTCAAAATCCCTATTTAACATAAATAGATATCTGGTGGCGGCCGCAAAAATTTCGCGGCGGAAGTCGAGAAAGAAGTCAAGAAAAAAATATATAGAGATATAAGAACACAAAAATATGGAAAGTGAAGATGACAGACGACATGGAAAATCGCGCTTAGCACATCCCAGCGTATAATGTTCTCATAAATTCGAGTAATCGCGAAATACAACCTGTAATATTGTGTGAGAGAAAGAATGTTGTTGACATTATACTATTACATTCGTAATTTTTAACTTTTAACATCGTTAGCATTAAAAATATTTTCTCATATCACATTAATTTGACGTCGTTGTAGCGTTAAATTTAAAACCGTTATATTTTTAATCATCTGTAACTCGCAAAAAACAGTTAAAAGTATTCTCCGAAAGAACTATTATCCTATATCACATAGAAAAAGCAGTAAATGCGATAAACGTGAATGCCAATCTTAATTATCTCACAGCAAAAATTATGGTGTCCTCGAAATTGGAGAACAGAAATATTCGGCGGAAATCGAATGTGTGTGCTTGGTGAAAAAGCGGAGAAAATGCGGAGAGAGGGAGAGAGAGAGAGAGAGAGAAAGAGGATACGGATTAACTGCACTGTACCACCAAATTGCCCCGAGCGTATAAATACAGGTGTACACGAGGCGAGGGCGGATTCGCTATAGAGAATACCCTTCCAATAATCAATTTCCACATCGAGATTTATCAGTCGGTAGATTCACCGCGGCGTATCATTTGGTCTACCAAGATTTATGCGCCGTACGACGCGGCCGGTGCCTCGTACAGAGAGGGTACGGGAAGCGTTTTCGCGCGGAAAATAATTTTCCGCCTCCTCTCGATCATCGCGCGTCGCGCGATCACTCGTGCGGTATCGGTATTGTCATTTGTCGAAATGACGAAACGCGAAAATTGACACGATAAAGCATTTCAAAAGTTAACTACCTCACTGTTTTGGGCTGTTATCGTTGACAATGCTCGAATGAATCATTAGATGTGGCTGTAGCTTCAAGCTTTCATTTTATAAAAGGCGCAGATTAAAATACGGTTTACATATTTTAAATAATGTATTGTTTAAAATATTATGATAAAACCATAAACATTTTAAATTTTTACACACAACTTTTAGCTAATATTGTACAGCGTAATACATCTTTAATATAAAAAATAAATCCGACTTTTTTTTATGGAAACATATATATATTTAATATATCTAAAGAGAATTGACTGATAATTTTATATATACAAAATTTAACTACATTAAATAATTAAACCTTATAATTATTCGTAAGAACAAGAAATATACGAGAGATATCTTCAAATGGTTCGACAAGTAAAAAGACCAGTAATTGCGTCAGCTTGCTCATTTTATAGATATGAATAACTAATGTAAATTGCCAAGAAAGTTTCGCAAGATCGACGAGCGCGCACATGAAATTAAAAATTTCTCTGGCGATTTTTCACGCAAGTTTCGAGAGAACGTTCTCATCGCGCTCACCTCGTAAGTTGTATAAATGGGACAAATGGCGAATTAGAAATTGCTATAGTTTGCTGCAAAATACAAGTTTCTTAAAATTAAAAACTTGAAATCTACAACTCTTATCTAGCACTTTAAATTATACGAACAATATTATAAAATTCAGAAAGATTGATATTATTTTAGAGATAGATGCGCGTATTTTTCAAATATTTTGTATTTTGCATACATGTAAACATATTATTCAAAGTTTATTATTTGTCAAATAAAAGCTGTGATTTTAATTTTAATAGATCTTAAAACTTCAATTTTTTTGCTCGTTTTCTTCATCGGTAAATTACAAAATTTTCCGCGAACATAATCACAAATTCAAGATTTAGATGCAATGCGCAGCGCATTTTCCTTTGCATTCAATCAGTAACTTTTCGAATCGACATGCTCTTATGAATACTAATCAAAGATTTTCCAAAGCTGCGGTCGTTATCGTGCTATATTGATATGTTTGCTATATTATAGAAGGGATAAGTAAAAATAAAAATTTTGTTTGTAAATAATAAATATATTTTAAGTAATGAAACTAAAAAATGACATGGATTATATATGAAACATGTTTCAGAAGTACGTTTTAAACAATGAAATATAATGAATACAATGTAGTGCAGTCTTATAGAAATTAACTTTTTATAGATAAAGAAAATTTTCTTTCTATAATTTTGTATTAACAAAACAATGTTTTTTTTGTTATATATTTAAATGCAATCTTTCTATTTGATATTATCAAAAATTAGAAAATAGATTTCTTCGAAAGTAAAATTTCCGAAAAGATTTTATTTACAATCGTTTTATCTTTTTACAATATTTAGAATTATTTTTGTGTTTATATCATTAAAATGACGTATCATTTCTTCTTTCTATGTATTTAAAGATCATAAATATTAGTGACGCGGTCTTTACTTCTGCATAGAACTGTAATTTTTTACTTTCTGAGTAATCGAGTGATCAATATTTAAAAAAGCACGCGTTTCTTCCAGAAATTTCTTCCGACATGGAGAATTCCCTTCGATCGCGCGAATCTAAAACCGTCGATTTTTCTCTGTTTACACCGATTCGCCGGCCGTATTATTTACGAGCGGTAGATACGAGAGCTAGTGCCATCGATTTTCCGACATCCAGCGGACGGATTACAAATCGCGGGCATGCAAATGCGCTTTTTATCGAGCCGACTCCTCGAAATGCTCTTCACGCCGCCGCCGGCTGCGCAACGAGAAAAGTGCATCTGGAATCGGCGATGGGGTCGACGTCTACGGTATCCACGGCACTTTGCCGCGTCGTTTCAAGTATAAAGTAAATTATATCCCCGTGCAATTCCATCAATGATAAATACTTTGCAGAAATTCCCTTGATACGCTACCGTCGTGCGTAAATTTTTGGAATAATAAACGTGCATAGATAAACAAACAATATTTATTCAATAAAAATAGACAAAATTTTATACAATAAACTGTAAATAACATTTCATATTTTTCATATATACCAAGATGGAAATCGCAGTACAAGCGTACAAAACTTTGTACTTTGTACAAAAATATGTCTAAAATATAATATAATACTTTTTTACATCAGGCTTTATTTTGGAGAAAATTGACATTAAAAATTAGAAAATAATTCATATTTCTGCACTTTTTAAACTGGAATAGCCTTTAGTGATAATTAAGTATTAATTAAAATTGTGCGAAATTTTCTCGACATATGTTTTGCATTTGAAAGAGCCATTGTGTTTACATATCAATCATAATTAATTACAAATGGTAATTAATTTTTACAGATTTAAAATTTATTTTCTTCAAAATAAAATTTTACATAAAAAACATTTTTTTTTTTATTTGTCTTTGTAAGATAATCAACTGTTAATTAAGATAATTAGTCTGTTCTCACTCATATGATTTCCGTATATTTACATGTATAAGTTAATGAAAAAGTAATCAATATACACAGTTCCATTGGAAACAATGTAATCAAGTACATCTCGGTCATATCTTATTAATATCGATAATATGATCCGCACGTTCTTGGTTTACCAATCAACTCGATTCCAATCAACTCCTACAAAACAACCTCACCATAGTAACCATCATGAAACAGCCGCTCTTGCGAAGCTATCTCTCGCATCATCCTATTAAATTGACGGCGAGTGCCGGCAATATTGAGTTAGGTGGCAATAGCCTAAATTGCGATGGCCCTATACGGCCTTTACTTCGGTGCAATCGATCGCGTTGAAACAACGATAATTGCCGCACAGAGAAACTTGTAATATCTTGGGCCTAGCACAGTTTATTTCGTTTAGATGCTAAAGCTCTGTGAAGTTGCGAATCCTTAATTCGTAATCAATTAATTGCGATTAATCATTTCGCATCTGCTAAAATACACGTACATATTTATTTCAATAACACATCTAAACAATCTCTTTACAATACCAGATTCCACAATTATATTAAAATAAATACGCAAATACTTCAATCAAATATATAATTGTATTATAGATGCAATTTTTTTAATTTAAATGTTGAACAAAATTATTTATGAATTGAATTACGAATCTTTATAGTGTGTATAATCTTTTATAGCTTTATTGCAATTTTCTGATGTTACTTTTATAAAGAAAACAAATTTAAAACAAGACTGTAAAGTAATTAAAAATTAATTTTTGCTTCAATGCTTTTTAATCCATTCT